AGTATGCTGTTAATGTGGCCTCATTTCAAACCAGTCTGACATAAAATCATTTTCCGACAGTTTATTAAATCATTCTCGAATCAATGCGGTTTCCAGTTGAATGCATTTTTAGTCTTTCCCGATCTGAATACCCCTCGAATCCCTCAGTCATCAATTCCGTACCCATCACCAGACTACATACCACCAAATATCTGGGATTTACCATAGATAACAATTTACGGTGATCACCTCACGTGCTAACCGGTGTCGCTTATCCTTCCAAGTTGGTAAGCGATGATAATTTAGAGTGGAGCATGAAACATGTCCCTTTGTTTATTTATGCATTTTTCGTGTCATACTTTATTGTTCACCCGTTATTTTCCCTGGACTACTTAGAAAGAATTTCAACAATCTTTGTCGTGGTTTGGTAATTATCAGCCATATTTCTCTCAACACTGATCACAAAATTGTGTAATTTGTATATCAATTCATGTGAGAATTTTGCTCCTAAGATACTCAATGACCCCAGTCACCCGCTCAATGCCGATTTATCTGTTTTCTGTTCCCACGCTACAACCCGATCCAATTCCCTCTGCTAACCCTCCCACATAACGCGAATTAACAGTTCCGCCTGGCTCGTATTCTCACTCACATAGGGAAGATCCGCAACGAACTTATCTTAAATCTACAAAGATGAACACTTGTTTAGATTTTACCATTATTGTATATGAATTTTCATTTCCTTTTTTTATCTCATTCTAACAGTGACCACATTTTTTGACTGAAATGTAGGCACAGCTGCCTGTACAAGTCATTTACAATACAAGACAAATACTATCACTTTCACATGTTCACAGTTCAAATAAAACACTATAAAAATAACTCGACAACGATTCAGTCCCGAAGTTGCTGACCCAATAGTTGTGCTCTTTCTTCCAGTTCAGTGCCAATAGTCTACTGTTTGATGTTTTACAAAACTACACAAATTTATAATTATTTCTGGCGTACACAGTGGTGGTTTGTCCAGCTGTCCGATGACCCAGAGGACAAGTGGTAATGTGATTTTCAATTGACGCGTCCAGTATAGGGAAGAAATACATTTAGGGCTTATAGGGAAACAAAGACCGGAATGTTGGTTTCTGGCGTGGGAATCATTTGTTTTGCTGATCCAACGATTTGTGTTTTGCAGCTTCACATGGAGCGCGGTATTTTTTTTCGCTCTGAGACGACTTAGGCAATCCGGAAACTGTTTGTTTGAGCGAGAACTCAATGCTTCGCATATGCCATGTGAACAGTCCGTTACCGTGCTCGGTCATACTGTTGGTGATTCATAGCAGGATTCCAAAACACATCTGTTCAATGATTTATGGCTTCCAAACTCAACTCAATCAAACCATGATTTCTTTCAGTGCGTATTTATCCGATCGCTCTCCAATGCGGGGACATCACATCATCTGGGTTCCCCGACCAGGACCGGGATGATGATATTTACCACACAGTTGATTGATTCCAGTCATGTGATCATTTAGTCTGAGGCGTTTCATGTGATCTGCTCAGTTACAGGAGAATCTTACACTGCGACCCGTTTCTATAAATCCAATCTAACCTAGCTCGGAAATTTTGTAGCCCTTTAACATTAATCGTGCAAGGACATAAATCTAATCGATCCATTTATCATAAACAATCAAAAATTGATATCGGTTAGTGGTAAACACAAGAATATAGGGACTACAACTATATGTTCGTATACTCCTCTTTCCAACTTCTTTAGTGAAACAATCAGCCAGTCAGTGTTATATTCACACACGTCTGAGTTCAGACTGTGTGCCAAACAAATCGCGGTAACACGATCTTTATAAAAAGAAAAGAGTTCCATGATTTTCTGGTGGGCGGAATACCGCCAGGCCAAGGTAAGTGAATTTTCTTTAGGAATCCACAACCGGAGCCTTTGGCTAGCCAAAGCCTGACCCGCAAGGAAGCGGGGCGTCGTGCGAAAACCGCAATCCGTTGGGAGCCGATGTCCAGTTCATTGGATCATACGCCCTTCGGACGGGGTCAAACATTCAAGGTGCTCAATACACCTCGATGACCAATCGAGCCAGTGACCATTGCCACAATCGGAAAGGTGTGGTTGTGGTTCGTACGACACCTCTTGGTTGGTTTGAAATCAGGGTTTTTGGCCAACTCCCCTTGGTGAACTGCCAGTGGTCCACCAGCTCGGTTATATCCCCGGATATTGGCTTTTTGTCCTCCCACTTTGATGGGAAAACATCTTGACCACGAGAAAGAAGTGAACAGGACTCAGCAGATTATTTGAGACGCTTGGTCATATGGAAGTATTTCGTGTGTAAGGTAAGGGTGACCATCTGCAACCCTAGATATCCACCCCCGACCATACTGAGGATTTCGGAGGCAGCCAGTCAGTGAATGTACTGTCATGGCTAGTTGGTGATTTCAGTCGTCATCATTGGCTTCCTGCA